CAACGGCCTTTTCCTGGCAGGGTGGGGAGGCAGCGAACAGGGGTCTTGCAGCTCGCTGTTGCTCTGTGCTCCTGCCGAGGACAGACAGGATTACTGTTACAGGAAAGTTTGTGTAAATGTCACTTTTCTTCAAGAGACCAGTCAGCTGTGTCGCTCAGCCCAGCAGAAAACTGATTTCTGACAGACACCTCTTATCCCCAGTCAGCCCTGGATCCCCTCCACAGGTTTGCTCTCAATTTTACTCCTTTCCTTCCGCTTCTTTCAGAAACCCCTGTAAGCAGGTAGCACCTATATGAGACAGGCCACAGCAAGTTCCTTTGGGAACTCTCGGTTTCTGATGGCTTAAAGATACCGGAAAGTTACCTTTTCATCACAAATAACAGCTATGGCGGGTCCCTGCACACTCCCAGAGTACGTTTTCCTGGGGTTTGGTTTCCAAAACCCGACAGTCTGCAACACCCCTCTCCCCATCCCCTACCAGCTCAGGGAAGGGCCAGCTAAATCCCTTGGGAACAGAGGAATACTTTAAGCTCCATTTCTGGAGGAGAGGCCTGACAAGAAACAATACCCTGGCCCTTATCCACTGGGTTTAACACATGTCCGACTCTTCCTTGGAAATCCCAAGAGGGTAGTGGGGGTGGAGGAGACAAGCCTCCACATGTTACAATAGTTTTGGTCAATTTTTCCTGTGCAGCCAAAGCCTCAGGCTTTATTTTATTTATTTTTGTGGTCGCAGCAAGTACTGGTGGGAGGGAAGAATATGAAGCAAAGGGCTTTTATGAAGCTCCCGCTACACAGAAGGCAACTTCCCCCCTCGCACACACAAGCCTACTTACAGACCGTGCCTCCCACTGCAGTCCCGACACCAGAGCTCAGCCCAGCCAGCACCCAAGTGAAACAGCACCTTCATCACAGATCTTCCTTTGCTGATCCAAGGACTTGCCTACGCCAAGGAGAGGAATCCTCCTTTTAGCATTTAGGAGGGGAATTAACTTACCATAGAAATCAACTCCTGGGGAAATTTCTTCTTCACCTATTGAATTTCAAGACTGGATGGAGGAAAGGTGATACTGAAGCCTATGCTCTTACCTTGTGTCTCTGGGGGTGTTCCATAGCCTGTTCAGTCAGAAGAGCTCAGTGGAATATTGCATTTAGATGGTGTGACTTCTTTGGAATACAAGTCAGAAGGAAAAACCCAGTATGATCTTGAGAGAATAAAACACTTCCTAAGACAGTATAGGCCCAAAGGTGTTTTTTTTTCATACTTAAATGAGCAGAATAATTGTTTATTCTACTAATTAGCTTTGTCCATAGGAAACCTCTCTATTCTGCATGGACTGGTCTGTGGAAAATACTTCGCCTCTACTTCTCCGTTCTCACTGTTGAGATTTCTATTTCTTCAAGATTCTCTGCCTCCAGACAGTGAGCATGCCTGTGTTTTCTTAGGAGTACTTTTGATTTTGCCACTGTATCCAAGTCAGCACACAGAGCTACTTACGTTATCTAAAATCCAGGAGCAGGCAGGACCACGACAGTTTATTCTGCAACAAGAGCCCTGCCCTACATGTTGTCAACCTGTAAACCCTGAATGAATTTGAAACCGACACGGAAGTGCCCCATGAACGGCAGTCACCCACGTGACACTAAGGACAAGATAACCAACCCCTCCCACATGAGCACCCACTCGAGTAGATAACTGACCTAGGTGTACGGAAAACGTAGTAATTCAGCCTGCTTCTTCAGAGGTCTTAATGGTCTGAGAAAACATTTAGATACAAGTCCTCTAAGCATCTGTGACAGCACTGAGAAGTCAGCCAACCCAACGTGGTTTTAGAGATCAGCATCCCCAAAGAGCAGCAAGTTAGCTGCAGTGCAGAGAAGACTACTGGCCTATCAAACACACTGAAATTATAGCAAAAAAACCCCACCCGAGATTTTGAAGACAGACTTAATACACTGGTGAAAACCATTTGATGGTAAGAATACATACGTGCGTGCAATTATACCAAAAAGGCCTGAATAACTTTGCTTCAGTACAACACTGTTCACTCTTCATGGCTTCCAGATGAAGTCTAAAAATCACATTGCCCTTCTTTTTCCTTGAAACTATTCTGTTTGGAAATAGGTACCGGATCAACAGCGTACACAAGAGACAGACACAGGTAGCTGTATATACAATTTCCTTTTATTAACAATGTCTGTCATTACTGAACAAGGCAACTGGGAAATACAAGGACTGGACATATACATGAAAATTTTACAACTTGACAAAACATTGGCATGTGACTTATATACAGGTGCGATTGGTAACAGTTACGACTCTACTGTATTTGATTAAACACAGTCCTAAACACATTATGAAAATATGAAGTCAGTCATACAGAGGTCAAGTTCTGGAATCTAAAAATAATAACAATTTAAAATCTTCAAAACCTTCTATGTCCATCCACTTTACAGACCATCACTACAGCTTTTCCTACTACCATATACATGAAAGATTATCAAAAATATATCGATGGGTCTATCGCTAATCATGAACGTTCGTATTTACATTAAGTTAGCAAATTCTTCACCAAATACTTTATATACAAAACTCAATTTGCCCTTTTGTGAAAGTCATTAAAAAGTTAAAAACCATAGAAATGCCGGTTAGAAAGATTGCATTCCAAAAATTGGACTTGCTTACAACAACTGAGAACAATTGGAGATAATTTACGAAAAGGTGTGTCATTTCAGTACACGTACTCTCACAACACTTTAGTTCCAATACAGAGTAGCAGGAGTTTTGACCTGTGTGTTCTTTGAGCGGTATCTTCTCTTCCAGTAATACTGCAAGAAAGAAGGAAATAATTATTCTTAAGCAGTTTGTTGCGAGTCTTTGAAGGAGGCAAAAGGGATTGATATTCTTTCCCCCCTTCTCAGTGCAGGAAGCCCTGTCCCCAGCTGTATTGGCCCAAATATTCAGAATTCTGATTTCTTACTCCTTAGAGGCTAAAAGGGGGGAGGGGGGAGAAGAGAGAAACCCGATAGCACCAAAGCACAGAGGCTATTCAGAAGGCTCACACCCTTTTGCCAGCGGTGTTTTTGAGTGTGATCTGGGCTGCTGATTTTTGTATCCGACTGTAATGCTTTTGCAGCGTGCTTTGAATGCCCCTAACAAAGTCAGTCTTCCCGGCCAAACTAGAAACCCCTCCAACCTGTCCCTCAGTGGAAAAGGAGTTCAGACAGGAACCAGACTTTCGCTCTGCAGGCACTTCTACAGACATGAGCACCTAAGGAATTCCGCAATGCAAAACACGGAAGCTGAACGAATCCACACGTACTAAGGATTAGACAGCTACGGAAGCACGTACTCTCTTGGAATTATGTTCCACTTGGGCCCATCCGAGTACCAGAAATCTGTTTGAGAACACAGAAGCACAGTTTATGGTGCTTCCAGTACGTGAGAAAAGAGCAGATGGATCAGTTGCTTAAGGTCTCAGCTCCCTTCAAGTGACAGGCACCCTGGAAACAACGCTGTGGGTCCTCGCCGAGTCAAATCAGTGCAACCCAATGGCTCGCAATGCACCGCAGTAACTTTGTCGAAGTGCTGACACCACAGAACAAGCAAAATTAGATCTTGCTGTCAATTCCAAACCAAGTGGATTGAATTTCCTTTTTTATCTCTAGAGGTGCTGAATGCATATACTTGCTGTATGAATTCCTATCTTCCAATTCCACCGAAGTCTCTCCATGTGCTATTCTTACTCTTCAAACTCCATAATGACCAACCCAACTTTTTTATTGTGGTAAGAGATAAGGATGGAATGAGATCTCAACCACCGTTAATCTAACACAGCCACGCTCCCAGTCTTGAAATCTTGTCCCCTCTTGTTTCAGACAGCCCTCCATTCTTTGGCTTCTTCACTAATTGCTCTGTAACCTGTCCTTCAGGTCACCTTCCTCACTCCTCTCAAATCAAGCTCACTGGGGGAAGGGGTATAACATCTTTGGCCTTCTCATTTTCTCTATCCCGTTCTAAAGTAGCTTTATCCAAAACACAAAATCCAGTTGTCTTCTCTATGTTGAGAATTTCACACAAATCAAACTCTTTCGCCAATTTACTACTTCACTCTACACATTTTCACACCTCTTCATATATATCTATCTGGCAATGCCTCCTGCTCCGAATTCAAGTACTTTTCACCACACCTTTTCTTGAAGAACTTGCGCAATCTCAGCATCCTGCTTAGGTTACCGACTAACGACACAGGCTCAAGTCTTCACATCTTTCTTGTCCCCACATCTCTGCATGCAACTACTCCATTGGCATTTTTCAGGTTTTCTGCAGACTCTCTCCAAAACGTGTTCTGCTTAGTCCACTTGTATGCTTAAAACTCTAATCCAAGCTCTGATGCTTTCCTTTTAAATTGGGTTAGTCTTCAATTTAGGTCAGTACCACGAACAGTGCTGCTGGCACATCTTAAGGTGAGGGGCAGGAGCAGAGGGGAACCGAAGATACATAAACAGCTCTGCCTGTGTATATCAAACCACAGTTTACCCATCTCCCTTTCATGAGCACCTCAATCTGTGTCTGATAATCTTCCATCTGGTTCTATTTTTGTAACTACTTCTTGTTTCATACTCTAGAGCCAGGAGTTTGTATTGTTTGTTAGTATGGTACCTGGAACTGAAATATTTACAGCAGTATTTCAGGATCCTTTGCACCGCAGCGACATGAACATTGCATAAACACAAAATCCATACAGGAATTTACTCATTAACAGGACAGCGTGAAGGTGTCTCAGCTCTTACCAGTTTAATTTGTGCTCTGTCGCTGGACTTTTGGTCCAACGCTCTGAGTTTCTTCTTCTGGATTTGGGCGTTTCCCTGCACTAATGCCAGTACCAAGGGCCGTTCTTCCTGATAATTTAAAACCAGTATTTACATTAAGACTCTATTGCACCTTTATATATTCAAGAAAAGCATTTTGGGGTTTTTTTGTTGTTGTTCTTTGAATTACCTGCTTGCAGTAAGTGTGACTGCTGATTGTCTCCATGAGCATAGTGTAAGATACTACTTGCTTGACAGTAACCTGTTCAGATACAGTAGATATTATAATAAATAAAACTTAGAACTGCAAGCAAGTGTACAATTACATTCTTTACAAGAACAAAAAGGAGCCAATTGATTTATTTTCCATCATCAAGAGAAATCCTGTCAGAAAGCATCCTGAATGCAGAAGAGTTCTTAGGCAAAAAAAGCCTGATGGCAGTCTACAGCAGTTAAATAGATACACACTTATGTATGCACAGTGAACAATATTAAGTGCATACATATTTATGCACTATATCTGCAACAAGGAGAACGTTTCTATATCCAAACACTTTAATTCTAAGCTGTTAGAAATGTTCATATTTGTTCTGCCAAGTCCCCTAATCCTTTTCATTATTCTGTTGTAGTCATACTAGTGAATCCTCAGTGTAACTAAGCTGTGAAAAAAAAAATAAAATGCAAGTAACAAAGATGCAAACTGTTTTCTGGTTCACATACACTATCCACTGGCAACCTTGACACTGAGCGCTCTGCATAAATAGTGCAAATGAGCACAAGCAGTTGCAAGGTTTCTTCTTCTGATCAGCTGTGGGGTTCCGTTTGACAGACTACAGTCTATCCTGATCAGTAAGCACACCAACCCTGTTAAGGCTACAAAGAAACAAAGAGTTGTGCTAAATTTGATTGCAACTTTGATCTATCACAAACCACAACGTACGTTTCTGTACAGTTCAAGAAAGTATCAAAAATTTGCCTCCACAATGAGAATATCCACACAGAACTGTGGAAATTGATTGTATATGGAAAGTGTGGCAATGAAATCAGGGAAAAGGTAACATGCAAATTTTGCTATCAAACACAAAAAGTGAACTTCTTTCTTTCAGCATCTTTCATTTAAAGTAACCTAGGATAATGTTTATTCATTTGTGGTTAGTCACACTTGTGATCCCTCCCACTCAAAACATACAAATATTGTTCTAGGTGACCATTTTATAGATAAAAGTGACAAGGCAAGCAAATTCACTCTAAGAAATAAATTTTAGGTTTCAAGAACAGAAACAAGGCCACTTCAAGTTGTAGACAGCAGCCGTCACCACAAATCTATCCACGTTACTTTGATGCTTTGTCTGTTTTTCCGTAGTTGCAAGGATTTGGAGATCCTCTACAGACAGGCACTGCCATACCTTGCTGCTGAATTCCACTTGCTCCTGTGTGAGAATCTCCCAGGGCACATGGCTGAACAACTGTATGACCATCACCAGTTCCCAGCTGAGCTCCTGGGGAGGCAGGAAAGAGAATTAAACATAACCAAAGATACAATTCCAGTTCTGGAATTTAAAATATTTGGGTCTTTTTTCCACCCCCTCTTCAAGAGGTACACTTTGACTGTGGCTTTGTTTTTGTTTTTAGCTACCTCAGAACAGACCCAAAGCTCTAATGCTTTCATCTTTCCAAATTCACACTTGCAAATTCAGGTGAATGCACAGTAACCTCCTACAAAACAGATACTTTCCTGATGTGAAAAGTGTAAGTACATGTATACATTTAAGCACGTATGTATACATTTTAAGGAGAAGCGCACACATACCGCTAAACTTTTTAACTAAGCCCTTCCTGTCTTCTAAATCTCTGCACTCAAAAGAAATAAAAGCTCAAACAAGGTCAGTGTTGTTGACACTATGGTAGAATTAAATTCCAGTAAGCAATCTAATGCTAGCAGTAGAAAACTTTACACATTAACAGTTCCGACCTGAAAATACCCAAATCACTCCTTATTACAAAACACCAGGAGACTTTTAGACAAAAAAAGCCACATGACTTTTAGAAGAAAAGTCATAATCAAATGCTTTTGAAATCCAGTTGATACATGCTTATAAGTAATTTTCAGGTGGAAAAAAAGAAACAGTTAAAAATTTCTTACATGTTTGAGAAAAAAGGAAATCAAAATATGTCTTTACATAAATACTATGAAACTTAGTGAACAAATCTGAAAGAGTTTGTGATCTGCACTGAAAACTGTCTTGTGAGTGAGTGAAAACTCACTCTTATAAGAGATACTGCCAAGAGCCTTTTAAAAGAAGTTTGTGCAGTTCAGTTCCATTAATTCTGTATTTTGAAAGAATTTGACTGACCTCCTGTACTGCCACAACCAGAAATGCTTTCTCCTGGCGAGTAGCTCATTAGGCCACCATTTCCATTTCCATTTGGGTTAGAAGGCACTGTTGCAAGAAGACCTAAGCAATGAAATAAAATAGAGCCATAAAGGAAGGCAGCAAAGAAAAAGATTAAGCATAGCATACTTTTCTCCTCATGATAGTCAACTCTCCACCCTCACCCTGGGTCGTTTACCTGTACAACTGGAGAACATCTCTCTATCTTGCCTACTTCTGGGATCTTGCCAAGTAGTTTTATTTCACAATTACTTAACAGGCATTTTCTACATAATATTCTGCCTAATTTTTCCAATACTCATTAGTTATGTGTATTTGCTACGTTGCGTTGGAGTGCAACACATCCTGATACAATATCTGAACACACTGACTGCCCACTCCTTCCTGAGCAATGCAAGTGCTGTGGTTTACTTCTCGGAGCAAAGGGGATGGTCTTTCCTAACTAGGAAGAATGCTACCAGAGGTTGCATTGGGCTCTGTTTGAGCAACAGCAATTGCACATACAGCATGGCTGAAATTATGAACCACATTAATTTTCTCACCACTGATATTAAAACGTACCCATTCCAGAGTAGCAGAATGCATACAAGACCCAGTCTAACTAACAAACTTCCAGAAACCCAGAGAAAAAAATTCCCAAGCAAGATTTGTAAAGAGGCACTCCACTCAGACTCTTACTTCCCACTTGGATACATCCAATATTTTCATTTATTTGGATCCACAACCCTAGTCACCACACTGAGCTCACACCCGATTACCACTGTGATGGGACAAACTCTTAATTGCTAGAAGGCAAGAGAAGTTTTCCAGTAAGAAAAGCCAACAGCCTATAACCATACCCAGTCCTCTGTATCGTGAAAGCTGCTGGTAGATTTGTTTCATCCTCTCAATATTCAGACGGCTTGCCTCTGCATGATTTACCATTGGTTTGGGATAATTAACTCCTATAATACATTTTGCAGCCTTCTGGATGCTCTCTGGGGCATTCCAAGGGTCATAGATGTATTTTGCAGGGAAACCTCTAAGTACTGGCAAATAACGTCTTAAAAAAAGAATAAAAGCATTACTGTAAGTATAAAGCCACTTGACAGTTTAAGCAATGTCCACGAATCGCTGCCACTTCCGGATCGTGAATTACCTGATATAATCCCCATTTGGGTCAGTTCTTCTGCCAAAACCCACTGGACAGTAGCAGTGAAAAAACTGCTGAAAGAAGGAACTGCAGGATAGCCACATCCAGCTTCCAGCATTCACACTCCAATCTGCATCCAGTAAGAGCTCTTCAAAGACCTTAAGAAATCAGAGTGACAAGTCAGTATGAACATGCCACCCCATCCAGACACCTACGTTTTTAGGGGTTGTTCTGAATTTCTCATTTCAGCAGAGGAAACCCAGCTCTTCAGCACAGCACCACTCTTTCTTACCTGGCAACATTCACAAAATGTTCAGTAGGTAATTGCAAATACTTACCTAAATGCCAAACCCAATAACAAAAGTGTGATAGACTGTTTGACTTTTACCCTGTAAAAACAATCTTGAAGACATCTCAGTGTTACAACCAAGAAGTTACACATTCTTGCGTAAACACGCCCTTATGAAAAATAAATCCCCAAAGGATGGCTGGAGCCCGATTGCTGCAAGTGGCATTTGTTGCTTCATCATGTTACAACTGAATAAGCTCTGCAAACTTACAGAAAACAGGGAACATACAAAGCACGTTTTGAACTCAAGCTGGCAGTCTGATTAGCCCAACTCGCACAGCACCTTGCACTGTGCCAGGAGTCCCAAGAGTAGAATGCAAGAGTTTGGGGTAGCGCAACATCCCAAAGCTGTACTTTTGAAGGCCAGTTGTTAACCTCGTAAGTCACAGGTCTGAGGCTGCACACTTAAATTCCTGGAGGCACATGAACCGCCAAGCTTGCTGGAGAGTGGTGGGACAGAAAATGAACTCTGATCCGAAGACCAAAAGAGTCTTCTCTGGTAATTGCTACCCCTATTATATTAAAAATAACCTGTGAGGAAGTTGAAGATTTATGAGGGTTTTACTTTAAATCTGGAGCTCAGCAGTTATAAAACATTCAGGTTTCCAGCATTGATTGGTTTGGTGGTGGGGTTTTTTTAATTATTAACACAGACAAGAGTAACTTGCATAAAAAGCTTCTCTGCGCAGTCAGATCACCAGCAATACAGGCTAACAAGAAATAAAGCCTTATTCTTTGAAGGAGAACATTCACGTACCTTTTATAAAAAAGAGTGCACCGAGCAGCAGTTTTCAAGAGATACTGACTTAATCCACATTTTTGCAAGCCCTGGTTTTCCTTTCAAACTTGCATTGTCTCCAGTTGTTCCAAAGAAACCATCCTCTTTCTCAGCTAAGACACTAAAACTCAACATCTTACTACTGCCACCCAACTCCAACTAATGTTATTCCAACTAAGGCCTAAATAAGGTAATACCATTAGACAAGGCTCTCTGCACGTGAGTAAGGCATCCATTCTGCAGCGTACACCGTAACACTGCGCTACAGGCATACCTGTCTAAATATCTGCACCTACTTGGACAAAAAAGTTTGTTCTGAAAAAGTAAGACTTCAAAAGACTTAAACCATTTTAAATAGGAAGTGGCTGATAATGTAACAAGGTCTTGGGATGAACACTAAGTGTCAGCACACAACTGTTCCACTAGAGGCTGCCATGTCATAAGGCTTCGGAAGTAACGTCTCCGTGGAAGGCCAGATTAACTGCTGCGTACGAATTAAACATCTCGCACTGCAAAAGTCTGGGCTCTCCACATACCTGTATTATTTCAAAAGTGAGAACAAGTCTGTGTTTACCTGTAACACAGAGCTTTGTTGTCTGGCCGAGTTACCCATGTGTGTGCCTCTGAGGTCTTTATCTATGAACCACAAAAGGAAAATTCCTAAAGCAGCTTATATTGTTGTGTAACCAAGACTGGGTTTTTTTTAGTGAAAGCTTGCAACTGATTTGTTAAGAAAGGTGAAATTTTGTAAGATTACACACACATATAAATATGAGGTCACAATCCTGATGGCCAGTGAATTCTTTTTTAGATTTCAACAATAAAACACGATTTTTAATTGAGTATCATTGCTCAGTAAAAGATGTGCTACCCTTCTCAAAGTGTAAAACTGATTCAAAGACTGAGATTAAATTATTCTATTCTTTCCTTCTGAGACTGACATTTGGAATTTGAACTTTAGCATCTCTTGGATACCTGCACAGAAAATAACTGCACTGAAACTTCAGCCACATCACGCTGCCCACGCTCACACTTCTCACATCGGGGCAAAGGGACAGAAATTGCCAAAAGGACATTCTCAGCTTTTAGTTTCCCCCCTTCAATTCTCAAGGTGCTTTCCCTTCACTCAGAAGCAGATACAAAATGAGAACAGAAACTGATCACGCAGTACGGCTAGAAGGAAACGTCAATTACAAGAGTAATCCTTGTTTACTTTCCAAGATTTGGGAAGAAATCTCAGGTTTGAAAGAACTGCTGACCTATTCTGACTGCAAGAAATACTCTAACAGTGCAATAAAAGGGGGTATTCAACAGGCAGAGCTTCAGCACCACTGGTTTATCAGAACCATTTAATTCTGGCCACAGTTAAGGTTTGAAATTCAACTTACGCCCCAAAGTAGCAACAATTACAGAATGACTACCTGAAACTTTACCAGGCGCTTCAAGAAATTCAAGAATAAGAAACAATACCTTCATTCCTTCTTCCCAGCTAATCCAGAGGTCACCTCGAGTCAAAAAGCACGCTACAGCATGCCGGGCTAAATGGTGAATCCAACCTTCTTGACGGAGCTGTGTCATAATCGCATCAATCCAAGGAAAACCTGTCCTGCCTTCTGCCCATTTGGCCAAAGCCTCAGGATTCTTATCCCATGGGATTTGAACACAGATAGGATTCCCCTCCATTTTATCAAACCGTGGATTGTTAGTTGCCGCTGTGTAGAAAAATTCACGCCATAACAGCTGGCCATAGAGGGAGAGGGGAGGGGAGCTGTTCTTTTTTACCTGAAGATCATCATTAAAGGAAAACATTTTATTAGAACAAGTAGGGAAAAAACATGACATCTAAGTATGTGTAGCTATGTAGAAATCATACCTTTTTGTACAGATCCGTTAACTTGAAATAAAAGAGACGACAGGACAAACAGCCAAAGCGGAGGTAGGGACTAAGCCCCGTAGGGCTTGCCAGAAGGGAATTTGCATTCATTCGTGGTCTTTCAAAGTTTGCTACCCAAGCCTTAAAAAAACCAAACCAAAACAAAAAGGACACAGCAGTCTCAGACTACAGGCTAGGTAGCAACTTGTGAACATAAATGGGAGAAATCACAGACTGTCTATAACTGAATCCAGACACGGGACAGATGATCATGTTACCTACGATACCTAGGGGTTCCTTTTGAATCAGTGAAATCTCTAGAAGGTAGTTCATCCTAAACAGAAGGCATGAACTGCCTATCAGAACTACTTATCCCTTTCTTTCAAATACAGAGGAAACCTAGACAAGTATCAATACATTCACTTTTAGAGGAGTTCCCCTTCAAGGGTGTAAAAAGTATGCTTCAATTAAAATTACTTCCAAAGAAAACTGTTTTTTTGAAGTAGAAAAACAGTATAACAAACTTTCTTTACAATTCAAAGACAACTTGCTATCATGTTTTAAAACTAAGAAACAGTAACACTATCTATGTCGTTATACTGAAGCCTTGAGCTCGAGTCTGTGGTTTTGATTCTTTTGAAACAACTTGCCCAGTTCCTTTAACATTTCATTGCAGAGATCACCTCTGTTTCCCAGCTAGGTCATACTTGCAATTGTTTGAAACATACCTTTCGTTCTAAATGTCTTTCCAAACGTGTGAGAGCTTCTGTTTCTCCCCCTGGCCACACTGCAGAAGGCAGACCATCTGTGTCAAAACCTGAAAAGCAAATTGAAACAAGGAATTTCCTAGTCTGCTTATACTGTAGGGCAACCAAATTCAGCATATTGGTACTTGACTACATTTCCTGGTAACACGAGAATAACCCTAAGTTGGACACACGGCAAAGTACAAGTTTTAAGCCAGTATGCAACCAAGTCTTACCAAAGCACATGCAATACCTCTAACATGCAGCAAAATCCATTTATGATTTCTACATTTACAAGTCTTACACGTCTGTCTTCAATTCCACTTCCTGCTTTTTGCACAAAATGACCTTCCTATCATTTGACATATTATTTTCAAGTTCTCAGCTCTGCAATATGTGGGCTATCTCAAAATCACAACTTCTTTTTTAACTCACTATTAAGAAGCAACAATTGCTGATGTAATTTACAGAATGTCTAAAAGCTCTTCCATCAAGTTAAAAGCATGAGTGCTATCTTCAGAACATTCCTAGGTTTCATTGACCTAGACTTAAATAACAGATGGGGATTATTGTCAATTTGATGATAAAAACACATACTGGAGCTGCAAAAGAAAGACAAAAAGAAGGTAACGAGATTTCTCCCACAACCCGCAAGACTCTTCACCGGGCACATGAGGTACATGTCTGCCTGTACTTTAAGCACTGTGGAACGAGATTGACCCTCATGGGGGGACAGGACAGGTATGGGGGCACAGGCCAGGAAAGAGGGGGATTCACAGGACAATAGCTTCATACTATTTCTTAAAATAAAATATACAGAAGCATAAGAATTCCCTGCCCGCCCCAAGAAGCTTCTAACATAATTATTTGCCTATTATATTTTTTTCTGGCATTGCAAGACTAGAGGGGTTTTTCTTATTAATTTGTAAAATGACAGATTAATGACCTGAAGCACAAAGATACCAAATGCATTTAATAAAAAAATGAAGTAGCAAAGACTATTAGTAGCTTAATGATTATTTGGTACCATGGGAAAATGGCTACGCTGTATTACAAGAAGCCAAACGGTAGTGCAGTTTGATCTGACCTCCCATCTAAAAGAAAGCTAACATTTACAGAGTTGATTATCCTTTTCTGCTCCTTTTGTATGCCATAATTGGCACCAGTTTAACAATTAACCATAAGTAGAACCTCTCTCATGGTTGTTTTAAGTAATGTGCTTTTAGTGATAGATTACATCTTGCTTGTTGCACAATCTCAGAGCATACCTAGCTCTTCAAGTGATGGGACACCGTATTTCTCATCATGGTCATCAGATACCGGAGTAGTACATTTTTCCATTACTTCTGGGGTTATAGTCTCCACCGGCATCTCCAGTGGTTCCATTCTACTAATTAGGGTCTGGAATCGCTTGTAGGTAAGAGGCGGCTGGCCTCCATTTAATTCTATTATTCTGGGAAATAAAGGAAAAAAGCAAACAAAAAGAGTAGTATGTCAGACAATGGTATACAGCAGTTTTAAGAAAATACACACACAGATAAGTATCTTCTTGCCTGCCTCCAGCACGTTATATAAAAATCAGATACACACAAGGTAATCCAGACAGCTTGAACTTTCATTTTACCATCCTTTCTTCCCCTACTAGGAAGACATAAATGAACTGTTTATAACCAAGTCAACTATTCTTCATTCCTGGGTTGAGGAAAGTCCCTCAAGAAGTAGTAATGAATATGGACAACTCAAGGCAAAGAACAACACAGATCACCAAGGCAGATGAGACACCACAGCTACACAAAGACACATCCAAGTCACCCACAAGACTACGCTATTTGCATTAAAAACATCTGGTTTTCTATTCTGGTATAGAGAGCAGCAGTCAAAATTACAATGGTCTTAATATAGGGAAAAATTAAGGTGTAGGTTATACACAGTGACTGTTGTAAAAACATGCAGTTGCCATATTTTGCATTGTCACCTGAAATATATCCAAAATCTCAGAAACAGGAAAAAATTCAAAAGAATCTTCAATTTATGAAATGGGAAATTGAACCAACTGTTCATCTGAGGGGTGTGCCCCAAGGAATTTTCAATTTAGGATTAAAGAAAATATAATCAGGTTTCCCAAACAGTAAATAATTCCCTTTCCTCCCATATGCCTAGCTGCCTCTCCTACACTGGCGTGTAACACAATGAAATGGGATCCTATCACAGGAAATTACCTCAATGTTAAGAAAAGCCAAGTCATACTTTTGACTAGTTCGTGGATTATGTTTCTATAATAGGGAGCTAATACTAATCCATTTAAATAGAGCTGTGGAAAAACATAAACAAGACATTAAGTAAGGCAACACAGGGATATCAAACAATCCCCAATTACTTACTGGTTACATAACTGATAGAAAACAGTTCTTGAAAAACAAAGGACTTCCTGCTAACTTGTGTACAGCAAGTGAAATAAGGACAAAACAATCTAACGGAACAACTAAACAACAACAGATCTTATTTGTGAGAAGTTGCAGACATGTTTGAGTAACTTCATTATGAAAGACAGATAATTAACATAACCATTATTTTCAGAAGAACCCCGAACTGAAACTGTATTTCAGATAGTTACGTAACATTTTTTAGAGTTGTAAAGTTCTACTCAGTATGTAATAAGAAGGACGGATGGATAAAAGAGAAACAAAAATATATTTGTAGTCTTCTTAGCTATGAAGTGCTCTGTGTAGAAAGCGGCACAAAACATCTACCCAAACACTACATAAAATCCTTCTTTCTCTTTTCAAAACCAGAGGCAATGGTAACTTACTTGTCTAGGTCGTATAATGTATGGGAAATTCGGACAATGACCTCCACTCCAGCTTCACTAGCCAGCTTCTTAATCGCCGCATCTCTCTCCTTCCCAAATGGTTCAGAATCGTACTCAATAGAAAGTTTTGCAATATTCCATTCCTGCAACACAAACCAAAGACGTGATCCTTCGGCAACCTGGCTGCTTGACAGCGGGTGAGCGAGAGGAGAACAAGGAGGACAGGGACAAGATAGCTGGTGTTCCATTACCTGTGGATGGCTGTCAGAGATCTACAAAGACCCAAAATACATTTAGACACTCAGACTCATAAAAATGAAGTCCAATGTTTTGGCATTTAAGTAGGAATCAGGCATAAAAAAAAGCCTGTCTGCCCCACTGCTGTGGGTGCACACAGTAATGGGACAACTGCTGTCCAAATTTAGGATCCACATAAGTTAAGAGACACAACAGAAGGGAACGATGATAGAGGCTGTCTCCTGGACACTGATCAGCAGCAGCATCTTGCTTGGCAGAAAACCTTTTCACATATGCCTGTCAACTTTAACAGCAGAAGAGAATTTTCGGGGGGTCAGGAAGGTGATGTGCAACATACCACCACCCCCTCACACCAAATACTGTACACTTTCTTTCCCTTTTCCAAATCCTTACTGCCCACCCACCAGAATGGAAAATCTTCAAGTTTTCAATTAAAAAAGAAATACATATTTAAAAAATAATCTCCTAAAGAGAAGACACCTTCAAGTCTAATAAACTTTATGTCACAGAAGCTGTTACCAAGATCAACAGTAATAGGTGGGGGGGAAAGAAGTGAAGAAAGGAATTAACTCATGGCTAAGGCTTCTGCAACAGTAGGAAACTGTAAAGGTGAAATACGCACAGAACGATCCTAGAAAACCATACTGCTGCTCAAACCCAGAAAAATACCTTTCTAATCCCTCAGAATCTTAATCAGTTGATTTAAATACACCAGCCAGACTATTTCAGAGAACTGGATTTACACCAAAGAGACAAGGGGTGCCCTACGTTGCTCACCTTGGGTGCCGTTTCACTTCTGAACTCTAGCTCTCTCCTAGATGAAGCCTAGGTGCAACCCTCAGGATAGGCGATTCCAAGGGGTGCTTGCTCTCTGAAAGAGGGCTTGTCTCCTTCCATCATTAAGTCTGCCAAGACTGACCCAGCAGGCCCTGAATCCTCAAGCATCCTCCTACGCCCTCATACAACATTTATTTCCCATTTCATAATGTAAAACCCACTGTCTGACAAGTTGCAGCAGGATTTTCCTTCCTTTCTTTCCTCTGGCATACTGAAAAGAAACCCGTAAAAACCACGTCCAAGAGCCAGAGCCACGTCCCCAGGGGAGCCAAGGAACTCTGAGACAGTGCTACGTGACGTGAATACACCCGGATCAGCGTGAGCTGGGCACTCAGAAGCATGGACACAAATCGTTTGGCACATACTCCTGGATGCTTTGAGCAGCACTGATACATTTAAAGAATTAGAGATTGTTCCAATGCTATTTTCTTTATCGAGCCTGGCCCAAAGAGCTAAAGATACAGAGCAGACCAGAACAAACTGAAGAGCATGAGGCAAGAACCAACACAAACTTGACTGGTTCAAATTAAACAACAGGCACCAAGTGGGTGCCTCCTACCAGTGGAAGTTACATCTCTGCAGTCAGATGGAACCACCACCCTCAAGTTACAAAAAACCCCAAAAAACCTCACACAAAAACACTAAAAGAATTTTTCAAAGACCTGCAAAGTCCACTGGTAAAAATATTCTGTCTCTATGCATTACTCCAGAGGACAACAGCCTACTGCTGCTATCAGCAGCACTGTTAGCTAGTGCCGCTGAAAACACCTGACCCTGCACGCAGCGTCGGAAGGGAAGCAAAGCTGCTCTGAAGGGCTGGAAAGAGGAAAGCAAACAATCATATATATACCCAAAAATGAAAGAGCCGAAAAGGTCCTTGAGGTCTTCTGCAAGGATAAAGGTAGATCAGTCCTCTGCCTTTGGAAGGAATTGTCTGTGAAGAGAAGAGCCCTACCAAGAAACAGCTGTGAAACACTCATCCCCAGGAAATCCATGGATGCTGGCCTCTGTGACAGAGCTCTTGACACAAGGGTCTTACAGGAGTTCCACTATCTCCTATCATTATTTACTTAGTTATCTTCCCCCAGCCATAAAAACATCTACATGTGTTCTTCAGGGTCAGGATCATCGCTCACCCTTGAGACATGGAATGAGGATGACCCGAAAAGCTTGGTTCAGTGTTATATGCCCTTCACTGCACTGCAAAGGCCTGAGGTACAGCTACTGCTCTGGCAAAAGAGGCTGTGAGATTAATGATAGGAGACAGATGCATATTCCAGGTAGTCTTCAGCCAAAAGTTGAAGAAATCCTGAAGAGCTTCAACAATGCCTCTTATTTGTTTGAGGATAGAGGATGTCCTAAAAAGCCCCTCAGTGAACAAATACATGATAAAGACACATTATGGCAGTTTGAGGAACCAGAATACTATCTATATGACAAGTTATTTTCATTACCTTCTCAGCAATAAAATTAATATTCTGAAAATGCATCACTCCAATGCTGTTAGGCATTAGAAGATCAGGCCAGGAGCAAGATCTCAAACAGGAGTTGTCAAAGTAGCCATTAAGGTATTTAAGAAAACTTGTCACAGGTCACTCAAATCCAGACAGTAACAAACACAACAGCAAGATCTTTGCCCTTATTTAAATGCCATCAAACCAAATTTGGCAGGCAGATATTCAAGCCTGTTATCCAAGGCGTTGCAAGCTGTAACTAATGCCACAGTACTCCTGCAGGAAATTCTTCACTGAGGGGAAATCAAGAAAAGACTAGTCAGAGTATCATCCAGTTAACATTTCACAATTAAAGCACAAGAATGAAGAGGGAAATGTGAGGTTTGGTTGTGTTTTCAGCTTGGTGTTGAAGCCTGGGAATAAAAATCTTGAACAAATATCTCTCTGGAAAAAAACAGATATTTAATTCCCCCCACACACACACAGTCTTGCTCGTCTCAGTCACCTCAATCTAATCATTCCATAAAACCTTTTAAAAGTCAATCTATAAAGTGTTCATTTTTACTGTCCTATTATAGTATTGTTACCTTAAATACACCATTATCCATGGAAGACATATCAGTAACAACCTCTCACAGCTTTAATTTGCTCAAAAAGATGACTCACTCCCACAAAATCCTTAAATTTCTTTGACTAGAAGTTGCTTTTTACCTGCACTATGCTTTCACCAAGCCTCCTACCAGGAAAAAAAAAAGCTTATTAAATCACTTTTAATAGCCAAAAAGCAACCACATCAGATATTTGGCCTAAATAAAATACTGCTTTTACAGATCAAGTTTGAACCTGGATCCATGTACACTGAATTATGTTTCAGTATTTCAAAGGGAACCTGGAAAGGAGAATTTAGTAATATAGAGTTCCTAACACTTAGCAAGCCATTAGAAATGAATTCTACTTCCTGAAAGCAAAATCAAAAGCTGTAAAGTCTAAGAGCAACTCAGTTCAGTTGGTGATACACACATTAGAGGGGGAGAAAACAAATCTAATAAAAACAACCTTAAAGAGAAACTGCAAGGACAGTTAAGTATTTGAATGGATAACAACTTGCACTGAAGTATATAGTATGAGAAATATTCCTAGCTGAAATTAGTCTGTCTGTCATATTTATGGATAGAAACAACAACTGCAAGGCGGCATTTACCTTAAAAAGTCTGGGGAAAACGTCTGCTGGCTGTCCACGAATAACAAACAAACGTGAATTCAGTTTCCGTAGGTTGGCATCAAGATCCTCAAGACACTGAAGCAGGAATCTGCAAGGAATTGTAAAGAAACATTTGTTTTCTGAGGCAAACTAGACATGTTTACAATAGAAAAAGGGAACTAAGAACAATCCAAAGATTATTAGACCCTCAGTATTTGGTGTGTTTTGTGGTGCATGCTCTAAAAAAACAAACTGAACTCGGAAGTTTCCACCTCAGCACTACTCAACTCCGAAATGGACTAGAACATCCTCAGGTCTTAAATAAAACCAGAAGTACCTTGTCACTCTCAAGAGAAGCACACCACAGAGAAAAACCAACAGACCATCAGCTGTCGGCATACTGCTACTAAAGTTAATCCAAGTCCTTCTTGCAACACAGCAGCCCCAACTGTTACTAAAAACAGCAGACCAGAACTACATGGTCATAACTATCCCTTTGGCCTTCATTTATAAAAATAGCCCTCTGTCTAACAGTTTCACACATCTTGGCTGTAACCTCACCTGAATTATTTAATGAACAAATCAGAAAATAAGGGGAAAAAAAAGGGGGAGAGGATGGGGTGCTACAAATCTGCAAGTCTTCAAAGAGGAACAGGTAGTTGTACAAAGGATGTTGGGACGGGGTTCACATGTGCAAAGACTATCGGTGGGTACAGTAACTAAAAATAACACCAACGGTGAAATTGTTTTGGGACAAGAAATGAAAACAAAGAAAGAGAAGAAAAATGACAACTTTCCACTGCGGCAGCCAAAGAGAGAGATGCTGGGGATCCCCAGAGGAGTGCCCTTCCTCTGGACTCCTCTCCCATGTAACAAGTGGCTCCTCCGCAACGTTTTTCCTCATCCTAAGGACAAAAGTTTTCACCAGGAGCTGCTCAAACCCAGTCAGCTGTTCTTTCGGTGCTGCTGGCACTCAACTGTGTGTTGAGTCAGAGGCGGAGGGACATTCACCGCTGTGCAGGCACACTGCCGGATCCCCTGCCATCAACCGAAAGCTACACCCAAAGCGGGTGAAAAAAGAGGAGATTCCCACGCTGCAGGCCATTATTCCGGAGAGTTCCTGCTGCAAAAGGACAGTATGTGCATGTGCAAGGCCACGAGGATAACACCATGAGAGCAACCACCCGAGACCGAGGCAGGGAGCTACCCAGGCAGGGCAGGGCGCACCACTGCAAGCGCCCACGGCGTTACACATGCCGAGCAACCGGGTTCATAAAACGCCTAGGTTTTCAAGGATGAATCCTAAGAAAACCAAACCAGTTACGACGAGAATGCTATACCTTCTAGGAGGGATAATAGCAGAGATGACTGTTGTAAACCCACAAAGACTTTGTACATTTTCAAGAGATTTAGCAATATGTAAGCGATGCCTACCTAACACACTGCCTCCAACATTATA